GTAATGCTTTTCTGATAAAGTTCATGATGGGGTGAGGGTTACTGTCATGTGTGGCTTTTGTCTGTGTGTCTGTTTTATTCCTTATGGAAACAGTGGGGATCTCTGCAAATTATGGCTTCACAGGAACCCATTCTAGTACAGCAGGGAACAGGTTAATGTAGGGGTTCGTTTGGAACTGGGAGAGCAGGGTTCAGTTTGGTGGGTGACCTTGCTAGCCTGCTTGTTGTGTATCGGCACCTTGGATAAGAAATAATAACTTAAAAAAAGAAATGTTCTTTCCAATCTTGTTGGGCCATCATAGAAACACCTGGCAGAACAAATTTCCCCTCTGCAAGCCCTTCTCCAGGTCTGTTCTAGCTGGATGGTAGACTCTCTGGAGTATATTGGTGGCGGATACAGCTGGGGCTCTAGTAAAAGAGGGCCAGTGTGGCATAGTGGTTAAGAGCCTGGGACTGGGACTCAGGCGATCTGGGTTCTAGTCCCCGCTCGGCCATGGAGCCAACTGGGTGACTTTGGGCCAGCCACAGACTCTCAGCCCAACCTACCTCACAGGGTTGTTGTTGTGGGAATAAGATGGAGGAGGGGAATGATGTAAGCTGCCTTGAGCCCTTTGTAGGAAAAAGGCAGGATATAAATCGAAAAATAAATAAATAAATAAATAAATAAATAAATAAATAAATAAATAAATAAATAAAAGAGCAGTAGCCAAGAGAGAGCACCCTCAACTGGAGAGCTGCTGTTGTGACATCGCCAGCTTTTGGCAACCCTATGAATGAATGCCCACCACAATATCCTGTCCTTGACAGCCCTGCTCATTTCTTGTCAACTCAAGGCTGGGACTTCTTTTGTGGAATTGGGTCCATCTTGTATTGGGTCTTCTTCTTCTGCCTTGGACTTTCTCTAGCGTGAAAGCCTTCTGTGATGAGTTTTGCCTTTTCGTTATGAGCCCAAAGTATGACTGCTGCAGTTTTGTCATTTTTGCTTCCAGGGAGATTTGAACTGAGATCCACTTGTTCATCATCTGGGATATGTGTAAAGGTCTCCTCCAGCACCATGTTTCAACTGAATCCATTTCCTTCCTGTTCAGTATTCACACTCATACATAGTGATTGGGAATACAATAGTATGGATGATCTTGTCCTGAGCCTCCAGTAACACATCCTTACCCTTTCTTTCTAGTTCTTCAATTGCTGCCTTTCCAAGTCTTGGTTGTCTTTGAATTTCTTGGCTGTAGCCTCTCTTTGAACTGATGATTTATCCAAGCTATGCAAAATTCTTCACAATTTGAATTTCTTCATTGTTGACATCAAAGTTGCATAATTCTTCTGTAGTGTTGAGTTTTGTTTTCTTAATGGTCAGCTATAGTCCTGCTTTTTATTTATTTATTAAAACATTTCTATGCCGCCCCTTGCTGTAGCCTCGGGGCGGCTCACAACATAATAAAATACACAATAAATTAAAACAATAACAATTAAAATATATACATTGGAATAAAATAAGCCGCCTTTTACACTTCCTTCCTTCCCTTTTATCAGGAGTTGTTTCCATTTTTTGTAGCTTTCTGCCAGTGGCATGGTATCATCTGCATATCATAAATTATGTGTCTCCTGCCCATTTTTACTCCTTCCTCTGATTCTTATCCAGCTTTCTTCATGAACCATTCTGTGTACAGATTAACTGAATAGGGAGATAAAATACACTCTTGTCTGATGTTTTGGCCTGTAGGAAACCCTTCTGTTTCTCCATATTCTGTCCTAACAGTTGCTTCTTGTCCACAATACAGGTTATGCATCAGAATGAACAAATGCTGAGAAACACCCATTTCTTTCAGGGCCTTCCATCACTTCCTGTGAGCCACACAGTCAAAAGCCTTGCTGTAGTGTGTAAAACACAGACTGCGCCTTTGAAATCCTCTGGTGCTTTCCAGTAGCCAAGGTGCTCTTGCGATATGATCTCAAGTGCTTCTTCCTTTTCAGAATGTAGCTTGACCAACCGGCTTTTTCACTCCGTGTAGGTCTTCATTGCAACACCCTGAGCATCACTTTGCTTGCATGGGGAATTAGTGCAGTGGTCCTATAGCTGCTGCATCCCTCTGCATCTCCTTTCTTGGGGGTAAGAATATATCGAACACCTTTTCACAGTCTATGGGTCATTGTTCTGTTTTCCATATTGGTTGTCACATGCACAGTACTAACCAGAGTTAGCTTGAGTGTCACACCCGTTGTCTGTGCAAGTTCCTCAGACAGTGTCGCCTTCAACTACTGCTGCCACCCACTGGCTGCCCTTCAGGGTTTGTCTGCCCCATCATCATCATCATCATCATCATCATCATCATCATCAGAATCATCATCAGAGAAATCCATTCTCTCTTGCTGATGTGGCTGTTACCACCGAAGAAGGTGGATGCCTCTTAGTCTGGTGTCTCCCCTTTGACTCTTCTGCCTTGGGTGTCCCTGCTAAGAGATCAGGCTAGTGAGAGTGCCTGGGCCCCTGGCAGCACTGCTTTTGGCTAATGCTCTCAACCTCCCTTGCCTGTTAAGATGTCCATCCAAGAGAACACCTAGGTTAAATTCTATCTCAGTGGTAGCCGTAGGGGGCATTGTTGTTCCACCTCTGTCTCCCACCTGGTCTATGAGGGTCTGAATACTGGTTTAGCTTATTATAAGCATGACAATACTCTTTCAGTCCAAGGACAGTTTCAGAGAAGCGGTTGGAACTACATTCCAGGGGCAGGCAGGGCAAAACAGATGCAGAGTCAAAATTCCAGTCTATTTTAGCCTGAAGCTCTGATGGCCCAGTAACTAAGTCTAAAGTTTAGAATGAGGAGGAAGACACAAAAGCTGTCAAATTACCCAGTGATGCATAGTCGGGCGCATGGAGTAGGGCATGAGTAACCCCGGAGGACCAGCTTTGGCCTCTGTGTGGGCCAGATTTGATGCCCAAGCACCAGATGATACCCTGAGATTCAACATGCTCGCCTTACAGGACTGTATGTAAGTGAGACAATGTACATGGAAGAGCTTTGAACCCTCAAAATCTAATGCAAATGCTAATTAGAAGCATCATGCCTGTGATTGGGGAACCTTTTTCCTTCCTCTGCCCTCCCTTGTAGGCAACAGTAGATGAAATGTCACCTGGGAAGCTGTCCCAAAGGCACAGGGAATTATTAAAATCTCCTTGAAACAGCTCTTTCTGTCTCCTGTCATTCTGGCAGAATGTAGAGATGATTTTCATTTTTCCAAATGCAATCGGAAAGCACGGAAACTCTCAAAGCTGCACTTACTGTAAAAGCGATGTTTTGCTAATGGCGGGTCAATTTTGATTTAGGCCTGTAATTTGGCAGGGGAAAAAAATACCTATCTGCCGTCTGAAGGATAGTAATTTCATGTGCTCTTCTAATACTCCCAGAATTGCCTTGCATATAACTAAAAGCTTTTTACCCTTGAAAATACAGATCCAGGGAGAAGAGATCATAATACTTCAATAGCAAGTAATGGGCTGCTGGAAACTTTGGTGAAATGCGAGAAAATTTGTCTCCACATGCAGGGGGAAAGAAATGAATCTTTACAGCAAGCGGAGCAATACCTCAGTATCAACTCTGTACTCCAGTGCAAGACATAATACTTAGTGACGGTCACTGAAGCACTGCTGGGAGATGGGAGTTATGGGCTCCCATGCCTTCTCCCCTGCCCTTTGCCTGTGCAAACCCCCTTCCCCTGGCTCACTGGTGCAGCATCTCATCTGCACCAGCATGAATCTGGGGTGTGCAAAGAGCTCTGATTCTCCTCTGGAAGGTGATCACTGGGAGCTTCAGTGCTGATGCTGCGCCATAACAAAGATTAAAGGAGTCCACAAGCCCACAGCACTCTGGATTGAACTATGGTTAACAGAGCACTGGTATTACATCTGCACCTGGTGTGTATGGAAAAGAAGTGTGGTGGAGTGGTTAGTGACTGGGACTTGGGAAAGCTTGGCCATGAAAGTCAGTGGGTAGCTTTGGGCTGGCTGCCTAATGAGAAGGAACGACTCACTGGAGAAGACCCTGATGCTGGGAACGATGGACAGCAAAAGGAAAAGTGGACGACAAAGGTTGAGGTGGCTAGATGGAGTTACTGGGGCGGTGGGTGTGGGCTTGGATGGACTCCAAGGGATGGTGGAGGACAGGAGAGCCTGGAGGAATGTTGTCCATGGAGTTGTGATGGGTCAGGCACGACTGTGACTAAACAACAAAGCTTTGAGCTAGTCATTGATTCTCAGCCTAACCTACCTCACAGGATTATTGTGAACATAAAACGGAGAGGAGAACTGTTATGTAAGCCACCTTGCATTCTTTGCAAGAGGGAAGAAAGGCGGGACATGCATGCAGTAGCAAGAAGAAGAAGCTACTCTGACGTTTAGCGCATGGGCTGAAGGCCCATAAACCGGGGGTGTTAAACATATTCCAGCTGAGGCTCAAATTCCATATCAGGGAGGCTCTTGCTGCTGCATTCCAGTGACAGGTAGGGCTAAAGGCAAGAGACTGGCATTGCTGGTATATTTTAGCATAAATCCCTGAACCAGCAGTAATTGAACCTTTGGAGTGGCATTCCAGCCTTACAGCATGGAGGAAATGGTACCTGGGCCAAGAAACCACCAAATCATAGGCAGTCGGGAGAAAGGAAGTGAGAGAAAGAGGTGTGGCTGTCTGGGGAGCCCAGAGGGCTGCATTTGGCCTCTGGGCCAATATTTGTACACCCCTGCTGTAAGCAACCCTTTCAGGTTTTTCTTGCCTGTGTCTGATTCTCCAGTAATTCTGATTCTCACAGAAAATGTTTCTAATCCAAATGCTCTTGACTCTGATAAATAGGAAGGTGAAGTATGATTTTAAATCAGTAGGTTTAAAAAATCAGTATAATGATTTGCTCCCCATCTTATAAAAAGCTGTTCTGTCTTCTGAAAAAATAGCCAGTGGAACTATTCCAGTCAGTTCTTTATTTGCTTGTTCATTTGTTTACTTTCAGCACTGACGTTCATTTTCTTCAAGTCTGAGCTGGCTTCTTGGACAAAGCAAGCCTCGGGCACCAAAGGCCCTCTTTGGATTGTAAGCACTTCGAAACGCAAAGAAGAACCACCACTAGAGGTAAGGTTTCCTCACCTCAGTAGCTGGCACTGATTGTTCCAGATCTTAAAGGCTCTTGGCAGTGCGTTCACAAGTGGCAAATTTGAGAAAGGCATTTCCTGCATGGTAGGATAGTGAAATTATTCCATAGGTGTGGAGGGCCTGGGAGCTTATCAGGGCAGCCATATTAAATTGGCTTCCTCCACCAAATAGCTTGAAAGCATGTCTAAATCTTTACACACACGCACACACACAAACACACACACACATGCGTGTATGTGTGTTTCAGAGCTGTGAAATTGGTCCCCATAGCAATTTCATGCCAAAAATCTTGGAAAATGTTGCATTTCACTTCATTTAGATAAATTCTCTCACCCCAGTAAGCTGAATAAACCCATGAGTGACTTGTGTTAACCAGGAAGTGTGAGATTGGCCACAAAATAAATATAGATTATAATTTAGATTTGTGGATTGGATCCAAAGTTGACCTGCTACACAAAGGGAAACGTCTGTTGGTGAACAGAACAGGGATCAAGCAAAGCAGGGGATGGGGTGGTAGGTTTCACCAGTTACGCATTTCTGGATCTCCTAGTGGTGTCTCGCACTCTGTTCTGGAGGGTCTCTGAGCATGGAGGGGCAGGGGAAAAAGAGTCAGCTTTCCCTCAGGTTTGCCCATTGGATTGTCCAGTTTGCTGGGTTACACTCTGCACAACAACTCTGCATCCAGCCTAATGTTTGTACCATTTTATATTAGCATCTCCAAGCAATATATGTTTGCAAGCAAGACTCCTGATGTTAGAACATCAGTTTCCTTCCTCTGATTCTAGTGTCTGATAGCTTTACTATGAACTGCTCAAAGTTCCATTTGCTTTTCAAAATAATTCCTTTGATCTTCCTTTATTTCAATGTCATAAGCAACAATAGGATTTTTTTTTAAAAAAAAACCTAACTAGCTTTTCATCAGAACTCATTCTTATCAAAGCTTTTTATTCTCTCCCTTACTACTTTCAAGAGATGCTGAAATGCAAGTGAGCAAATTTCAATTTTATTTGCTGCTGGCTTGGAAACACTGAGTCAACAAAAAAATCCTTAAGAACAAGGGAGAAACAAGACAGTTAACTGGAATGAACTAAGCTACAAGGGAAGTGAATCTCATCTTTTCATTATATTCTGTGCAATATATAGACAGACCAATTGACTTAAGGTCATAAAGAAAAAAATATTAGGCACGAAGACACTCAGTTCTAAAGTTTGGAAAGACATTGAGAGCCAGTGTGGTGCAGTGGTTAAGAACATGGGACTGGGACTCAGATGATCTGGGTTCTAGTCCCCGCTCAGCCGTGGAGCCAACTGGGTGACTTTGGGCCAGTCACAGACTCTCAGCCCAGCCTACCTCACAGGGTTGTTGTTGTGGGGATAAGATGGAGGAGGAGAATGATGTAAGCTGCCTTGAGCCCTTTGTAGGAAAAAGGCAGGATATAAATCGAAAAATAAAATAAAATAAATAAATGCCAGAATAGGAGTACATTAAGCCAAACTGAAGAGCACCTGGATTGAAAATGAATGCTTTTCTCTGATACTCACAACCATGTCGCTTTTTGTTCAGCTTTAGAATCAAAGAATAGTAGAGTTGGGAAGGGTCAAGAAGGCCATGGGGTCCAAGCCCTTGCTGGTGCAGGACACCAATTTACACCATTCCATAAGTGGCTTACAGAAAGTTTAGTAATCATGGCCTTGTGACAAATTAATTTTAACAAGATGTATTTAGATAAAATGTAGCTAGCAAAAACATAAATTTACTGGTGGTAACATAAACCACCCCTAGCACAACACCAGAGACTTGGAGCCAGGGCCCTGTGAATGGCGGTCCATCTATGCAGTCAGATGGCCCCATCTTCTCTGTTCCCTGTTGCCTGGTGCGCCGGAGCAGATGTGGGGAACTGCAGCATGGCAAGGAACATACAGTTGGCTTTTCCCCTTCCAGTGCCATTGGTCTCAGGAATCCAGGTTCCTCCTTTGAGCATTCGAAAGCCACAGACGATTTTCCTTGTAGAGCGTTCTTTATTGATCCAGAAGCACAAACCACCAAGAACTTTGAGCATCCACAGGCAATGCGGTTTGCTGAACCCAATTTGAATTTACCTCCAGAACCTCTCCTTATGGACATGTCTAGGTTCCACCTCCTTGGGAAGGGTCTCCTGAAAGCAAGCATGTCTCCTCTCCATGTGCTGAGCCTGTAATTGGGTTGCCCTCCTCTGCTGATGCCACATCATGGGGTCAGGAGCTGGGGCTGCCTGGCCTTCATCCGAGAAACTCCCATACGCAGGGTCTCCTCCCACCTGCTGTATATTTTGAATGTTCTCATGGGCAGCCGCCTCCTCTGAGTGGCCTGACCTTCAGATAAGGGTCTTCTCTTCTTCCAACTCTGTGTCTTGGCACAGCCCTTCCGGTCTAGCGTTCTCCCATTCTGTTTTGCATTCCGCATTGGATTCTTCATCGTGCCAGCAGTCCTTAAGAACAAATGCCCAAAACTGTCATCTTTCTTACTCCCAGTAATTGGATACAATCCACTGTGTTAGTGATGCTTTGAACAGCAACCTTGAAAGGTTGGTATCATTATCCTGAGGGACTAGTAGCTTGCCTAAAGCAATCTACTGAGTAAGTGGTTAAGACATGATTTGAACCAGGGCTGTTCTTACTCAGCATTTATAATGGTAGCCATTTTTGCTACAAGGGCTCCCAGGCTCCCATTTAAATAAAACTTAAGGAATTGCCTCCAAAGCCCTTATCTCCAAAATCTCCACTGTGGAAGTCAAATAATATAATAAACTTCTTGAATTTTGATGTATGTAAATCAGAGAGTTCAGTTTGTCAATAATAACCACCTTTGTTTATTTCAACATTTGGGTCTTAGGGTGCAAACATTTCTGCCTCAGCATCTCAGCAGCTAGCTAGTTGTAGACACTCAGATGCATACTACTCAAAAGCAAGTCCTATTTTGTTCCATGAGGCTTACTGCAAGGTGAGTATAGCATTACAGCCTTAATTTGCCATAATTAGGTTCAGGCTGCAATATTTATTTTGAAGAGGCTCTAAACACTTGCTGTTCAGAGTCTGTAGTTAGCTAATGAAGGCATTGCAGCTGCGAATCATGCAGTTTCCTGCTCTTAGGTTTCTTGTTTTTGCCTGCTGTTGAAGGAACAAATCGGTTCCATTGCAGTCCAATTCTTAAAGTGGAAGTGGATGATGTCTCGGGTCTTCCTGGTTTACGGTTTTCTGTACTGTCCCAGATAATGCCAAATTCAGACCACCTCACTTTGAGAACCAGGGTGGAATACTGGCAGAAGCAGAATTCTCCAACTAGGCACTCGCCAGATGTGTTGGACTGTGCCTCTCATCATTCCTAGCCAGCATGATGGGAGTTGTGGTCCCATACATCTCAAGGGTACAAATTTAGAGATGTCCAAAGTTAAGGGTGTTGAACTAGTGTGTAAGAGAACTAGGTTCAAATTTTTACTCTGTTATGAAGTGCATTGGACAATTTGAGGCCTTAACTGGTTTGTTTGTTTGGAGAACTTATATGCTGCCCCAGTCGCATAAGCCTTGGGGCGGCTTCCAAAATCGGGGCAGCTTCCAGTATCTACCGCACTGGATTAATTTAAGAATAAAATGGGGGAGTGAAAAGACTGCTATATAGCAGCCAGAGTTTTGTGGAGGAAAGGGGGTGAATAAACATGTATGATTACTTTCCATATTAAAATAGGAAGAAAGTCACATGCCTTGGGCCAACCTCTGGAGCATGAGCTCCCTTCCCCTTTCTTTCAAACTTTCCCCTTTGGTTTCCTCTTAACCATGGTTTAAATTGCCCTGAATCCATTGTACTGCCCACCACAAACACAAGTTTGTAGAAGAAATTGCTGTGCTAGCAGAGCTGCACTGGTTTTTCCTGTTTAGCAGGGGCTGGCAGAACATTTTGTAAACCCAAGATCTGCAGAGTGGAAGTTCGGTTGAATTTCCCCCTTGCACATAGTTTGGAACATGGTTTGTATCAGCATGGTGTCATTTGCACTGGTACAATGTCATGGTTGGTCAAAAAACATCACAGCTAACCATGGTTAGGGATAACTAGGGTTTCAGTCTGAAGCAGAGTTTGAGAGCAGGTTTGAAGTGGATTTGGAAACCCTGGTTTAGAAACAACCGGGTCGACATGAAGGATTGGTACAGTTTTAATCTAAAGCTGACATGGAAAGGTTGTTGGCAGGAGGCCATGTGTTCCTGGTGCTGGCTTCCAGTTTGCAAATCACAGTCTGCAGGGGTCCCGTGTCATAGCTGTTTTGTATCTGTAAGGCACCACGTGGAGAGGAACTGTAATGATAGCTGCAGAGCTGCATGGTTTCTTGCTTATTTGCCTATTTGATGGTGGTTGTTTATCTGTTACTGTGAAGGGATGAAAGGTCAAGCGGGAGCTGCCCAAAACTGCCAGGTCCCTGTAATGTGGCCAGCAGGCAAGCATACAGCCCAACAGATTGTCAGCAGCCTTGTTTTACAAACACCCAGTCTGAGCCAGGAGTGCTCAGGTCTTTCCAGGTACCCTGGGGGCACAGAAATGGGAGACTGCCCAGTCAACTTTGATCTAGGCTGCCATTTTTGAACAATAGAAAAGCCTGGTGAGATGATTTTGCAGGCTAAAGTACTAAAGTGCTACCTGGCCTATGCAACCACCCATGGTAAGAGTCTTCTGAAAGGACAGAGCTGCAGTGTGGGCACCAGGTGTACAGGCCTGCATGCAAGTCACAGATGAAGGTCAAAACACTTTAGCAGTGATCCTCTTGGCTTTTGATTCCTGCCCCTGGGCCTTGAAAAGAGTGAGGCAAGCCCTGTAGCCAGTCACTGTGGCCTGGCTAACTCCCTCGGCTTCCAGGTGGGGAGGAGGGATTGCAAAAGCCCTCACTGCAACCCAGCTGAAATTAGTCGGCTGATTTCAGCAGCCGATCTGCTCCAGCCTTGAAAGCCTGGACAAC